GGTATTCATGGTGTCATCAAGGGCCAGGAGGTCGGTGTCAACTTGAAGATCTTCTTCTTGTGGTCTTCGGATCCTTTTGTTTCTATGCTCTTCTGCTGGCTCAGTGATGGGAACCACTGGATGAACTCGTCGAGCTTGTATGGTTTCTTGTTGATCAAATCGACGTCGACGTTCTTCAAAGGTTTCTTGAGAGCCAGCTGGCTGAACATATAGTGGATCAAGTTCCAACTCTGGATCAGGATCTGGCTCTGCCACTGACGGTGGCACTTGTTGTTGTGGTTCATCGAGATCTTGATCTTCAGGAACTGGTGGAAGTTGACCTGGGTCCATTGGTACATCAGGTTCTCCATCAGGATGTTCGAGAGGTTCGTTATGACCTGGTGGTTCACTCTGACCATGAGGTTCGTTTGGACCTGGAGGTTCTGAAGCACTTCCTTGATTGAGAGGTGCTTGATGGTGTTCATTTTGGAGTGGTTCCAAGTCAATGTTTACCTCAGGAGCCAAGAGTTCTTCAGCTTCTGCGTGGTCAGGGTCCATGTCGTCTAGACTTTGGCGATTGGTTCTTTCGAGATCGATGATGCGGACGACACGTCGCTGTCGGAGTCCTTCCATTGCTTGGATTGCTCGCTCTGTGGAACCAATGGAGCCTTGCAGGTTCGGAAGCGTCCTGACATGCTGCTTGCCAGCTCTCAACAACGAAGTTCCGTGTGCAATCCAGTATGTGTCAACCACATTGGTATCAGGATCTCGCTGAACAGCTAGAACCACTGCAGGACCACGCCATTGAATTGTGTGGAACCGATCATTGGATTCTCTCCAGTAGAGGCATCGTTCTCCTGGAGATAGGTCTTCGTTTTGGCCAGTGAACCTTCTCAGCAATGCTCTTCTGAGCTTGACATCAATCTCAGCTTTGGCGCATGCGGCATGTGCACTTGCTCGTAGTTGAAGCTTCTTGTACAACCGTTCTTGTTCAGTTGTTTGTAGCTGAAGAGGTGAGGTGCGTTCATCGCTCAGCAAACCAGGCACATTGGGTTGCCTGCCATGAGCCAATTGACACGGTGTGTAGCCGTTGACAAAGGTGTTGTTGTTCAAAGAAGGGACAATCCAATTCAATGCATCTTGGAGTCCAACAAGTCCTGTCAACTGATGCTCACGGATGAAAACTGCAAGACCTCTTCGAAGAAGTTGATGTCGTCGTTCAACAATGCTTGTTCTTGTGTGGTCTTGCCCTGGTGAGATTCTCATTTCAATGCCATGTTCTTCAGCCCACTTCATTGAGTTGTCGCTTGCCCAACCGGTGGCCTCATCGACAAAGAGACGTTCAGGAGGGCCATGATGTCGGATCCAACCTCGTTCAAAGGCTTTTTGTAGTGAAGGACCTTGCTCATCAGGAACGGTTCGGGCACTCATGAACCGAGTTGCTTCATCAACCATGACGAGGATGGGGATCTTCTTGCCCTTCCGCTTGGTAGCTCCATCAGGATCCTCATTCACGAGGTCATACCACATCACATCAGCTTGTACGTGGGTGTTGAAGTTCTCGGCTCTGCTGAGATGAGCTGGAGCTGCACCTTTGCGGACTGCAAAGTTCTTGCAATATGGGCATTCAAGATCTTCGGCTGCCTTGATGATCTTTTCACCACATCCACGTTGGCGAAGGAGAGAAACTAGAAGTTCTTTTCGTGGATGTCCAAGATTGCGATGAAGACGGAATGCTAATCTTGCTGCTTCCGATCCATGGGTGGTGGCCAGCTTTCGAAGAACACCAGTCAACTCTTGTTCATCGCCATCTCCAGCAGCAAAGGTCTGTTCTTCAAGTCCTTCAGGCTGAACGAGGGCATGTGCTATATGCTGTGCCATCTTGACGGGATAGTCCTCAGCCTTGTGGCATCTGTTGCTGCCTTCGAGGGTTTGGTGCATGTGATCACCACTGCATCTCTTGGACATTCGACGGACCATTGCCAACTTTGTTGTTTGAAGAGCTGATGGCTTCTTGATGGGCATCTCTTCGTGGTTGTCGTTCATCGTAGTTGCGCCATACTCACATTGATCGAAAATGACCTTGTAGCCGGGGAGGTTGGCGAAAGCTGGAGTTTTCCAGGACAGCGCATGAGCTGGATGTTCTATGTGAGCATGTGAACCTCGGCGCACTTGTCCAAGATAGGCGCGACGGCAGAACTTGAGATGCTTTTCATGGTCTTCTTGTCGGCGAGCTTTGAGGTGAAGCCGATCATCTTCTGTTTTGACGTTGATGTTCTGCATGGTGCTCCATAGTGTGCATTTTGGACTCAACCACATTTCATCAGGTGCTTCTTCATCAGCTAGCTGCAGGAAGGCACGACGGTCGGCTGCTTTGTTGAAGTTCCAGCCATCTTCAAGTCCAAATCGTCGAACTTTGGCACCAAGTCTTTGACATTCTTTGGTGACATTGCCTCGTCCAACATAGACTTCCCAGACCACTGGCTGTCGGTCAGGTTGGTGATCACGGGCATGAAGGATTTCACGTTGTAGTCGTCTTTCTTCCTTGCAGATCTGTTCCAGCTCCATGTTCCAAAAACCGCGAAGTGACTCTTGGTTCTTTTCTTTCTCACCTTCTTGAGGAGGTGGTTCCAGGTTTTCAGCCGTAAAGACCGTGGAGGGCTTGAAGGTCTTTTCCAGGTTGCTCTTGATGCACTTGAAGCGACTCTGGGCCTTCATGTCTTCAATGAAGTCGTCGAAGCGAAGGATCTCATGGTGGTCATCCTCAGTTCGAAGGTCGAACTGGTGGTTGTTGAACTGCATTGGACCAGCTTCTTTGCGAGCTAGCCTCATGAGCATGGTGTTTTGGCGTCCTTTCTCGATTGGAAGCCAATCACTGCCAAGGATTTGCATCTTGTAGGCTCCGAAGTCGACAACTGCTTGAAGCCTTTCCATCACTGGTCTCCCAAGGAGGGGAGGTGTGGCTCCGAAGATGATGTAGGCCTGAATGAAGCCTGCCTTGCCGTTGATGTAGGTGGGCACTGACAAAAGCCATCTTGCGTGACCACTGGCGTCTCCGCCAAACTTGAAGTGTTTGCTGCACTTCTTGAACTCTAGTCGTGAGAGATCGACGCCAAGGAGCTGCAACCAAGCCATGTAGCGAAGGATGTACTCCGTGCCGATCAGGAAGCTAGATGCTCCTTGATCCTGAATTGCCATTTCTGGAGGGACCAGCCATTCATGCTCAGACACGAGGACATCTGAGCTGCTGTAGGCATCTTCGCATTCGAAGAACTCTTCACAGTCATAGAACTCGACTTGGACTGTGTCATTCACAAGGGTCATGACATTCTCATGAAGGGTGGCATTCTCACAAACCACGACATTCTCAGAGGCGGTGACATTCTCACAAGCCATGACATTATTTGGAGAGGCGTCATTCTCACAAGCCATGACATTCTTTGGAGAGGTGTCATTCTCACAGGCCATGACATTCTCAAACAGAACCATGCCAGTGAGGAGAGGATCTGATTCCTCCAAAGTTCTCTTCTTTGCTGAGGTCGGGGTCGTGCTAGAGCTTGCTGCCTTGCATTGCGAGGCGAAGTGTCCAGGCTTGCCACATCGGTGACACACCATTGCATCACGTGCACGAGCTTTTCCTTGTGGTCCTTTTCCTTGTGGTGCTTTGGACTTTGATTTCCCCTTTTTTCCACGTCCTTTCGGACTCTTTCCACCTGAACTGCTGTTGGCGTTGGCCATGACGGGGAGCTGGTTCTTGTCGACCATAGCAACCACTGGATAGAAACCACGTGAGCGCTTGAGTTCAAGCACCCGTTGTTTGGCATCTGTGTAAGCTGCCATTGCCATGTCGTACTCTTCGGTGTCGAAGATCGTGTCCTCATCGGTGTGATGTAGGTATGCCAAATCTTCTGGGTCATCAACGAGGTCGTACTCCTGGTCATACCATTCATCAGCTTCATAGAAAGCATCTTCATCGGGCTCATATTCTTCTGTCCAGTCATCCTGTTCCCAAAGCTCATCGTCCACAGCCATGTGGATGAGTTGGCGGGATTTCCATCGTCCTTGGAAGCTTTGGTTCTGAGCTCGTCGGACAGCAGGTTGGTGGACATGCTTGTAGTCTTGTCCGAGGATCATGTACATGGACTTCTCGATGTTGTTGAGGGACATGTCGGTGCCGGTCTGTGTATAGATCATCTGTTGTTGATCTTTGCTCAAGCCAGCTTTTCTCAACAACAGCCAACCAGCGACCTGCTCGGGGAGCGATATCTTGTACTTTTGAAGTTCTCGAAGGGACTGCTGGTGCTCAGTGCAGAACTCAAGGAGCGACTGCCCAACTCGACGTTGCGTCTTGTAGAAGTACTTCTCGAATGCGTCAGGCATTTCAACCCGATCATCATACTGCCATTGGGCGTCCAGCCTCTGCAAAATGCTCTTGAGGCCATCGTCCTTCTCGAGGGCGTCGAGGTCCAAGTCCTCGCATTGGCGCCAGCTTGCACCTTCCAAGATCGACAGGACTGACAGACCTGTCTCATTTGCTCTTCCTTGGATCGCCTGGCGGCGGGCGAACAGCAGGATCCTCTTGCGCCACTCTCGGTAGCCGGTCATCGTGTTGTCGAAGCGCGGGATGTAGCTTCTTTCATCTTTTCCAAAGGTGGCCTTCTCGGCCGGCTCTTTCGCTTGCGAGCTTCCCTTCGGGGATCGAGACATGGCGGCAAATGGATCCGGAGCTGCTCTTTGGCAGCTCCGCTACCAATGTGAAAACACGGGAACACGAAAGGAGATCAAACCGAGTTCACCGTCGATGCGGAACGCTCTAGGTTTCCGTCTGCAACAAAAGGGGCCTTTTCCTTCAGGGCTCATGTACGAGCAGCCACATGTTGTGGCCCAAGCGCGCTTGAGGAAGCGGCGAGAGAACGAGTGCGAATCGAGCGCAGTCATCATGGAATGACTTCACATCTTGTTTCTTGCTTCAAATTCACACCACCGACTTCAAGCATTCTACCGCCCCACCCCCTTGTTTGACTCCCAGACCGATATTGACTCAACCAGCTGCATCGACGTCCACGTTCCGGGACCAGACAAATCGCCTCTTCCACTCGGACCGTGGCTGCTATGGGGTCCGTGCGGACGGAGAGGGGCTGCCTCCCCTGCTGCAACTGTGACTGGGCCACCGGCTGGGGCCGATTTCCTCGCGGCGAAGCTCACGGAACGGGTGAAGAAAATCGTTCGAAGTCACACGGAACCTGGCTCGCTAGGCGGCTCGCTACTGTAGAGGACTGACTGTCTGACATTGTCTGACTAGTCCTGACGGACCAGGTTCTCCTTGTTCGAGTTGGACATGTCACCAACTCAGACGGGTCTTTATCCGTGAAGTCGACCCACGAGTTTCTTGCTCTCTTCGAGCTGAGAAACGCGGGAACACGAGGGTGAGCAACCCGACTTACGCAGTTGAGCGGCCTCTAACGACCTCGGTTTTGCTTATAAAGGGTTGTATTTCAATAAAGGAATTCCGGAGTTCCAAGTGAACAAAGATATGTGGGTGTGTGTTTGAACATCCGGAATACACCCGATCGCCCCTGGCTGTGTAGACTCTAGTTTTCCGAACCTTCCAGGGGGTCGAAGTGTCGAACTTGGAGGTCTCCCTAGATGGAAGACACATCCATTTATTTTTTTTTTCAACTAACCGTTACTAACCATTCATTTGGAAGATCCATTAACCATGGTCCATGTTGAGAATCTCAGCGTGTATCCGGGATTCGCTCCAGGTTTGGTGGCCGTGCCACAGGAGATGGGACGGGACGCTGGAGAGCCGCCAAGGTAGAGTTTTTGGCACTACTTCTGGAGGAAGAACGTGTTTCGTTCGTACCAAGTCTTATAACATTTGGATCAGCCGCAGTCAAGAAGTCCAAGCCTCGTGGGTCTGGGACGGTCACTTGTCACCCTCCTTTTACTTGACAATTAGGCTGTTCAAGGGAGGACATTCGACCCTGTGAGGTGAGAGAAGTTGTGACAGGATTCTATGAGGTTGTCAATGTTTTTCCGAGACATATAGACCAAGTCATGGACATGTCCTTTCATGTCCAGAGGAAGGCTGGATTTGTTAACAGCACGTCACTAATGATGTGCGTTTCTGTCGTGGTGGTCAATCCGACGTGTCTTTCCCCAGTGATCTTGTTGCTAGGCGCTGTCCACTGCCTCGCTGGTCCTTGTTTTGTGTGCTCCTAGCTGTGGGGTGCCCTGTCTTGACTGTCCAGGACAAGTACGTGGCAGTGGAGTACTTTGGCAGCTTCACGCAGACCCTACGCCCTGGTCTCAATTGGGCGGGATGTGACTTGGAGTGGGGATCGCCATCCAAGGGCTGGGCGGAGGGCAGGCCGGTGGGGGATCGTTCAAGAGCTGGGGCCGGTGTTTCGGTGGGAGTTGTTTTGTGTTTTTCCTTTAAACTTGGAAGAACCCGCCAGGAAGCTATGATATAGGAAGACCCCAGGTTGTTCTTTCTATTTGGGTTAAGAGACCAGCCAGGACTTTTGTTTTTGGTTTCCTTTTGTCTGCAACGCCCACGGCCGCCCACGTGAACGTTGGGGGGTTTGTAGAGGAACTTTGGCATGGAGAGGGTATGATGGACTGCCAGGAACTAATCATCATTCAAAGCTCAAAGTAGTTTCTGGGATTAGTACTTCTGGTTCTTGCACCCCAAATGCGACCTTGCTGCCAAAAGATTTGATTACGTCTGGTTCTTTGGACAGAATGCAGAAAATGAGTGGAGCATGTAGATCTTGAGGCTGGAAGATCATCTCAGGAATATCGCAGTTTTGAGTTGTTTTGGTTCAAGAGCTTTTTGGCCACACCCACTTGTGTTCACTGAAAAGCGAAACACCAGTGCCAGGACCCCACGTTGTTTTTTATCATGGCCCTCTAAAGGCCACCACAAAGGCCAAGTGTTTCATTTCCTAGCAAGATTAACATGGAACTTGAAAACCACTGGTTGTGGAGGAAGCTAGTCTTCCAAGCATTTTTCAGTTCCATGTTATATAATCTTCCCGGGTGTATTTCTATTCACCTTAGCGTGCATGTTCTCTTTACAACCATGGTACTATGTTCACTGCACCAAAATGCAACAAAGTTCATGTTGTGTTGCTTTTCGCCGGAGTTCCAGTCGGAAGACTCTTGCTGGACCGCTGTTCTTTTGGCTCGGAGGAAGGTCGTGAAACGACGCGGATCACCCACAGTCATCGAGTGCCAAGTGCAGATTGATCGCCATGCCTGAAGGTGACAAAGTCTTGCTTCTGGCCGTAGAAGATGTGGGTGTGGCTCAAAATACTACCAAGAACGATGCGTGTGGAACATGTCTGGACTGGGGGGTGCAGCGTAACCGTTCTGGGCCCGGCGAATAATTGCAGTTTTGGTTCAGCAAGAACTAGCAGGGACGACTTTTGTACAAACCTCAAAGGGCTCAGAGCAAGAGTCAGAGGCACAAGGCGCAGCTCAACTTGGGTTGATTCGGATTCCCTGTGTGTGTGTGTGTTTACTGTCTTTCGTTGTCATGAGGATGGTTTTCTCTGGACTTGGTTCTAGACTTTATTCAAAAGACGGCCGAGCTCCTTTGAGTGCATGAGAAGGTTTTGCGATGAGGTGTTATAGTGCAGAACCTGTGGTGGAAACCTCTGGAGAGCCATGGAGACACGGACACACAGTCTTTTGAAGAACACCTTCAGAAGGTACCCCTTGTACCCCTAAGGCCCTAGATTTGCAATGATTTACAAGCTTTTACACATTTTTTCATGCGGGTCTATGCCATCCTGGTCAAAGGTGCAGAGGAACCCCTTCATGCTGAACCCCAAAGCAAATCAAGCGAGTGAGACGCGCATCTCTCTTGTCGCAGCGGCGCCGAGCGGGCGAAGCTCCGCTGGCCGAGGCTCAAATCTTCCCAAGGCGAGATCTTTGAAGTCGAGCCCGAGGTGGCATGCATGTCCACGTGACTCGAACGGCAAAGGTCCGAAAAAGAAACGACCAAACCACGCCCCACGGTGAAAACAAAAAACACGTGAGAACAGCAAAAGCGGTGTTTTCTTCCACGAGTTGAAAGAGGGGGGCAAGGGATTCTTCTTTGGGGGCACGTGGCCGTGGTTTTTCAGCAGGGGGGCACTCGTGGAAAGAACAGTATGACTCAATGAATGACCCCTTTCATAGAGTGTGAATATCCTGTCCAAAAAGACAAGCAAGTATATAAATATAATGATATGTACAAGGTAATGATTGCAGATCGATTGTATAATATGATTGTATTTGCCTTGCATTTTGCCATAGTCCTTCTGCAATTCACTTTGAAAGCCGTCAGTGATGATGCATTTATGATATATATATATATAAATATGTCTTTCTGTCTAATTTGCCCATGTGTGAGGGACTAGGAAGGTATCAACAAACAAGTGGAAGTAGTCAGAGGTAGATGACCGGCACATGAAAATATCTCCGTCATGTGTCTTTGGCCTGACGCTAGGGAGACATAGTTGAACGCAACGACCCCCTGGAAGGTTCGGAAAATACACGAGTTGACCCTTGGGGCAGGGCTTATCCCAGCTGGAATGCCCAACTCGTTTGTCGCTTCAAGTTCACTCGTCCTTTTCTTGCTGTCGGACAGGTGAGCGGATTGAAGCTCCTGGCATTTTGTTGAATTTCAATCGAACCAAGGGAAGAAAGGGCACAATGCGGGGCCAAAGACCGTGATTTTGCTCGGGATCTGTACCCAGGTTGGTCAGGAACATGGTGGATGACAGTGGAACAGATGAAGAGATCCCTTTGCCCAATGTGAAGACGGCCATCCTCAGCAAGGTCATTGACTATTGCAAGTACCATAAGGATCCTCATCTCAACATGATGCGGATTGGGTCAGCGGGATTATCAGGAGCCCCTAGTAGCTTCTTGTGACTCGCCAGGAGCCCCTAGTAGCGTCCGATGTTATCAAAAAGGTGGCCTGCTGGAGTTATCTGGCGGATGTTTGTTTTAGGTGCCAGACTCGGTGCTCGTGCGGACTGACGCATGATTTGAAGCTTGAAGCCTGAGGCCTTTTTCCCCGAAGCCTGAGCAACAGACCCTTTAAACAACTGACCTTTGTCCGTCTTGTAGGACACACCACATCCAAGTATTCACATCCACATGGCATCCACAATGGAGGGAGCATCTCTGCCGGTGCCTGAGTCGGGATGGATTTCAAGCTATGCACTTCGTTCTCAGAAAGCCTGAGTTCTCCCAGTTTGGGGTAGCCAGCAATAGCTTGGGTATGCCGGGTAGGCATCAACCTTAATTGATACTATATTGTTATGATATTCTATGTTATGATATTCTATGTGCAGATTTCAACCTGTAAAAAGGCTCCACAACATTGAACACATGAACAACGGCTCCCAAAAAAGGTCTCCAAGCTGACATGCTGGTTCCTTCGGCTGGAGCGTTAAGTGCACTGGATGAAGTCCTGGACTTCAGCTGTCCCTTCTTTCTGGTTCAAAAAGGATCTCAAAGGCTTTCCATAATGCAGACTCTTGATTAATAACCCCCCATATTATATGAAGATGTTGTTCAATTAAAATGTAGGGGTTATTAATCAAGACGCTACACTAAGATGGATAATGCCTCACCACTGAGGTTCCATTCCCATGTTTCGCGGCGAAATCCCAAGCCCCACATTTTTCGGCGGAACTCCGCTTCGGGCCGGAACGCCATGCCCAGGACAGTCCCCCGGAGGAGATTCAGAAGCCTTTGAAGAGCACCAACTTAGTTGAGTGCGGCGTCTCCGAATGGGACAATGAGTATGTGAACATCGAACAGGAGGTGCACCGCCGGTGGAGCGCTTTTTTCTCCCGGTCAGGGAAACAAAGTCAGGGGTCCCAAAATCAGTGCACTTTAGGTTGAGGCTACCAGGTAAGGCGTTATATCTTAGTGATGTGAAATGATGCTCACCTGACTTATGGCTTTGGGTTTATGTAGTTGTCGTTTTCTAGAAGTGTCTATAAGACCTGCTGGTCAATGAAGGAGCCACGTCCCGGTCCCTTCATCCTACGGCGAGCCGCGCGGCTCGCGCGGCAGGTGCTCTTTGAGCTGATCTTGGCCGCAAATTACCTGGACATCAAGAGCCTCTTAGACGCTTGGTGGGATTCCGGAGTGGAGGACGGCAAGAGGATCCACGTGGTTTTGGTATGGGAGGGAAACAAGGTGAGCAAACAGAAGGAGGGAAGCCTATGAATCGAAGCCAGATCTGGGATCAAAGGTGTCAAAAGTATCACATGTAGGATCTTAATACCCCCCATGGAAGGTGTCTGTTGAGATCAAAGGATCTTGATTAATACCCCATTTGGATTGTAACAACCTCTTCGCCCTGGCCTAGCCGAAGACACCCGTCCGATGGTCCGAATCGCGGTCTAAGGACTTGACCTGTGCCAAGGTAGCCTCCATGATCAAGGGCAAAAACACTGAGGCGATTTCGAAGGGAAGAGATCGACGCGAGGAATCGGGGGTCATCGACGTCGGACCGGCCAGAGCACTGGGACATGTGGGCTGAAATGATGCACTGCCCGGTGCCAGACGGTTAAGGGTACGGCACCAGCCTTTGATGAGGGAACCTCAGGGAACCCAGGGCAGGGCCGACAAGGTTCGCTCGGCGCTTTAAGAAAGAACACTCTAGGCTGACCATGTTCGAGAATCAGGGGATGGTGAAGACTTTAGAAGTGTTTGGAGAGAACTGTGCCGAAGAAGCACACAGATTCAACCTGACTTGTTACTTGTTATTCAGTTCAGGGCTTGTTGACGCACCAGCCTTCAATGTCATCCCTGGAGTTATCAGCCTAAGACGGGCTGTCTCTTGCCGATCCCTGCCAGCCTACCGGAGCCTGACGCGTTCCTTCGCTGATCAGGAGATCCGCAAGCAATTCAACATCGTGAATGACTTCACACCTGAAGAAGAAGCACAAGTGAGGGAGGAGAATCGTTGGTGTGAAGACGCATGAGGGCAGCACAATGCTGCATGCCCCGGCATTTTGATCTAGGGGACAGGTTCCTGGGGAATGTTGGCGGAAGCCTAAAAAGCTGTGATCTTCGCTTGGCTGGAAGAAAGATGAAGAAAGTAGGTCTTTGGGAAGAAAGCGGGCATACACCAACTTTGGATATCTGACTTGTAGATGCCACACTTCACTGCACTGGTGCACTAGGACCAGAGGTGAGAACTGGTGGAACAGTGGATGCGATTGGTCAACGAATGAAGAGAAACGGGATGAGATTTAGACGCTGAATTGGGGCACTAATTTAAGCTGTATGAAATTCCTGAAGGAAACTCCACTCCAAGTTTACTGAGCTATACTGAGCTATATATGCATATCTATTTACATCTTCTTTCTGACCATGTAAAGAGACAACACCGCCATGACAACCGCCGCCATCTCCGCCATGACAACCGCCGCCCTCTCTCTCGGCTCTCCGGCTCCTCCTGCCAAGGCGACCTGGGAGGTCTTTGTGTGGCGCTCCGATCCATTTCTTCGCGCACGGAACAGCTGGAGGTCAAGGTGACCACCAAGAGCAAGGCACCGGTGCTGGATACCGTGGGTATGCAGGGCACTGGGCCGTGTGGGTGAGGGTTTGAGCATGTGTTGGGCGCGGGGGATGTTTGTGATAACATTGCCTGGGAGATGTAGGGTGTCATGCAGAAAGTGCCTCAAACCCGATCACCCCGTATAAACATGCCAAGATCTGTGTTTCACCTACTTCTTCTTTCCCCCAAAGGTCAGCATGCACTGTTCTTTTTCATTTTTCCATTGCCCTTGAAGTGGTCGTGACATCTTTCCCTTTTTCGCGCCGAAGCGTCCGTGGACCCGTGACCGTGACCGTGACAGAAAGACGATGTCGTGGCCACTTCGAGTCGGAGGGTCGACCCATGTTCCGCCTGAAGGCTCGACGGGTGGGAGACCGACCCCACCCAAACCAGTGGACGGGTGCATCTCGGTGGACCGTGAATTTAAAATTAAATGTAAGTCTAGTAGCTTCTTGTTACTACTAGTAAGGCACTTGTTACTACTAGCGTGGCACTTGTTACTAATAGCTTCTTGTGTCCATTCTTGACGGATCTCACCGAAAACACTGTACGGATCTCACGTACGTCGGGATGACTTGTCTCTGAGAAAAGGGTGCGATGAACTCGTCTCTTAGAAGGTTTCCTGGTTCAAGAAGCTTCGTCCACAGAAAGCCTAAGTGTTTTTGGGATCCATGCCTTCACAGTCGTCATCAGACCAGTCGGTTGCACCAGTGTTGTTTCCTTCTTCTGACTTGTGCTTAGACATGCAAGAGACTCCTTTTCCTGTGGCTCCATCCGAGCTGAGCCGAGCCGAACTCCCGGCGACGGCTCGGTCCGTCGTGCGTCGCACGTGTCAGGACAACGTCTTCTGCACGGTGCACATCTCGGTACAGTTTGCCGTGAACCCTCAGCAATGCGAAGATGCGATCCTTGGGCGAAGAACGCGGAGCGTTTTCACGCGGATCCAACGGGGAAAATCCGGAAACGCGGAAACGCGAAGAGGGAGGACGGATGGTGATGGTCGAAGAGGCTTTTTCTCTCATGCTGCGAAGGCCTGGACAAAGAGGTCAAAGATGGATTCTTTCTTCCCCATTCTTCCCCAGAGCTCCAAGTATCTGTATATAATTATCCTGAAAAAGGTGTTTCTTCAGGAACACCTTCTGTGGAAGTACTCGGAGCACTGGGGTTTCAATGGGTTCTTTCTCCCCTTTGCCATGTTCTTTCTCACCGGTGCAAAGGGCTTTCTCCTTGGCTCATGTAGACAGTTCCGGGAGCTAAGTGCCTCAGCTCACAGAACCAGACCTGAGGTCTGAAGCGCACGCGGCGCGTGGGAAGTCCTGGGGCCCTGGGGGTTATAAGCACCATATGGTCCATCTGAGAGGCCAGGCAGTCGCTTGAATACGGAGATGTCCTGCAGAAACTCTTAAGAATGTGCCCAGTTTCAGAGAGCGGCGTTTTGGAGAATTAGGGACATGGTTCAATTTGTAAGTTCATAGAGGACAGTGAACAGTAGAACATGAAATTAAGTGCACAATAGTGCACTCATATACAAATTTATATATGTTCCTGTCATATATTATTGGCATTGCCTATATTACTTGTTGGTAGCTCAGACTTCTCTTCATTGGAATCACATTTGATCACCCCTTGATCGCCTCAACTCAAAGGTCCCTAAGATCAGTTCTCATCGTAGGGAGAGGAGCAGTCAAGAAGATCTCTTAAGGTCATAAAGCTGAAAGACGAGTTCCTAGAAACAAGATACAGTATATAATAGTTTCCAAGACAGTTATTTTTAGTTGATGATGTTCATCAACCAACGATACACCACCTCAGCATATAGCATGGTCGAATACCTCAGCTGCCTTCTTTTTTGACGACTCGTGACTGAAGATTGTAGCATGACCTCAGTGCGGACTGCAAATAGCACATGGGAAAACTCCCTACTTTCCAGATATTGGAAAGGATGAGAGATCTTCTCCTTGTGATGCTACTTTTAGTGATCCATGTGGGTGTTTTTGCCTGGTGCCTCCTACAAATCAGAGCTGGGAGTCGGCCGTGCTTCCTTAGGATCTACAAGCTGGCCAATGCCATTGGGCGTTGTTGAAGGGGAGGGTCCTCCCACAAAGGCTTCGCGGTTTCAGAGGCTTCCTGGGCACTTCCTGGCGCCAGGAAGTACGTGGATCCCAAACCGAATTGTGGAGGATTGGTTGTTCAGAGAAACTGAGGGAGGGGGCTGGGGGATTGAATCTAACGACTTGCATGTAGGTTTTTCATGGAGCACTCGAACTGTCCATAGCTGTTCTGCAGGTGTTTTCTTCTTCGGCCAGGCAGTGAGTGAATAGGCCACAAGAGGCCCGGGTCCACATAGAAGGCCCGAAGGCCTCTCGTTGCACTCGACCATTTTTGGGACCGGAAGGCCAATATCTAAGAAATAATGTACATTGGATGATATGAGCTACAGCTTGAATATCATTTGCCACCTCCAAGCAGATATCAATCAAGAGAAAGGACACCTTTGTTTGGACCTCCGTTTTACCCTGTCCCGGTCTGTCAGAGGTCCGTCTGAGGTCGAAAAACACTTCCGCCTTGCTGCACATGTTCCGTCTGGCTGCTTTGACGACATGGTTCTCGCACAGGTCGATCTGCAGCCAGTAGACCCGGGTCAAAACGGACCTCTAACGCCCCTCCGAGTGGATCCCAGGCCACTATACTCATTTGACCAGGAATCAAGCGGGGTTCCCTGGTGCCATGATCTTCGTGACCAACATATAACATCAAATAACCATTTCGAACAGATGATTTCGATGATGATCGTGAGTGACCAACATCCATGTCATCCCAAGAACTTCCTATATAGGTCCTGCACCCAAGGGCTGAGACATCCTAGCTTCGTTTCAAACAATTGAAAACGACTGGTTTCGAACGTGCACCCGAGGGCTCCCAGTCCACCTCGGAAGTACCAAGAACCCTCAGTGGATCGAGGTCAGTGACCAGATCGATGCCTTTGTGGCCAACATCATCCGTAGCAAGGCCGAGCCGAGCCGAACGAGTCCTTTCGCGTCACGGCCCTCGTCGATCCGAGCCTGTTTTGGCCCTAGCTGGTTTGTTGCTCTAGAAATGGTGGATGTTCAGCTTTCCGGCTGAAGAGATTGTAGACTTTTAACATTGGACATCGGACATTAAATCAGGGCACGTGTGTCATTTATGATCATTGTATTTGATCGGTTGGAGTGACCCACGGAAGATGCGGACGTGACGATCGGATACTCTGATTTCTTCAATTCCCTGTAAACGAATCTGATACTGTCATAGTTTGTCACAGTCTGTCGACCAAACTTGTGGAAAACATCAGACCTAGCAGGGCTGTGTAGGTCTTTTTCGGCGCTTGTCCAATTCGAACCCCTTGTCCAAGGTGCCCAACATGGACATCGACGATGCGTTCGAGGCCAAGGACGACTTGTCCTCAGCCATCACCCAAGAGCCACTGGTCCACACTGAGAATGGCTGGCCAAAGAGAGGGAGACATGTTGACTTGATCTCTTGGAAAGAGCACAGAGCCGAGCCCTCTACTACTCACCACTGACAGAGCCCTCTACTACTCACACTACTCACACCAGTGTGTGGAGGACCGTGCAGCATGAACTCTGAAGGAACTCGCTTCTGGACCGCCAGGCAGACCCGGACCATGGGATTCAGCAGATTCATCAAGGACCGGACCATGAGACATCTCTCCGCGCCACAACCTCCGCCCAGCGGACCGGAACCCACGTCGTGCCCGGCGTGGTGGCGCGAATCGCCGAGGTTGGCAGCCACCTTAGCGCCTTTTGGCTTCGTGGTGCACAACGTTCTCTGTACCGAGCACCTGAGCTGAACGAGGGCTGGCGGCTGGCAGAGGGCAACACATGACCCGCAGTTTGAGGAAACCGTGCTGAACTGCCACAGTGCCAGAGACTATCATTGTGGCAGTTCATGAAGCTGGAACCCTCAGCGGACATTCTAAGAACTAGCTCTAAAGCGGATAGATCATGATAGATCAGCTTGGAAGCTGACATCCGAAGGAAGGCATTGGGGGTCAAAAGTTTTTCTCTTGAATCCTGAAGTTGCGTAAGAAACCAGAACATTTACAACACTTCCAGGATTCCTTGATGCCTTGGGATTTCTTTGGCATTCTTTAGCTATTTAGTTGGCATCAAACCTTGGTGCATGGGTGGTGCTTTGAACCTTAAATATACAATAAGAGCATTTATTTGGGCAACCCTATAGACACTCCGTGTTTTGGAATCTGCTGATCTCTGCTGTTTCTTTAACATACACTGTAGCAATTTTTGGATGTGGCCTGACAGTGATTTTTGGGTAGATGGGCGCCCCCATATCCTCCAATAAGGACTTGCACCATGTGGAAAAAAACGCTGAAACAAAGGGTGTGACCGTCACAGCTCCGGTCGACCCGTCCAGAAAGGCTCGACTCGTTCGCGTGGCCGACCCGTCCAGAAAGGATCCGTTTGCACAAGTCGGTCATGGACGCCATGAACGAGATCAATCGAGACTGAGCGAGAGGAACGGAGAAGCAGTCGTGGCTGGGTGCTGTCGAGGCCGAAGAAAGAGCCTCCACCAGTCACCAAGGACCAAAGACGAAGGTATGGCTGGACACAGCTTCTCAGAAGGTACTTGGAGAGCTATAGGGATAGTATAGTGGATAGTATAATTCAATAGTTTGGAGTCCAGAGCACATTCTTTCGGTGATTTTCACTGTTGTTTGCTGCATCGACTGGTCGCATTTATCATGGATTGCATTTGGGAGGCATTGTTTTCACAACAGCAGTGGACTAATATTCTTGAATTCCTTTATATATCCCTCCTCACCCGTAAATTTGGTGCCCTGGTCTTATCCCGGAGGATCATTTCGTGAAGAAAAACCTCAGATAGCAGATAGGGGACTTTCATGAGGGATATGATCATTTCGTAGACCAAAACCCTCTCATTGTAGGAATCACCCTTGATGGTTCAGTGGGGTTTGCTTGTTTTTGTGAAAGCAGTATGAATTCTAATTTCACAGTGCTGGTCTATCCAGCAGGGCCACTCACTCGATTGCCGACGTTTCGGTGGAGTCGATGCTCCGAGGACAGAAACGACTGCGAGAAGCGGCAATCATGTGACCTTGGCGCTGCTTGAGTCGATGTGACTAGGGGTGGAAAGTGGGATCAGACTCCATGCCTTTGTCTTCCGAAGCGATTTAGGTAATACTAGATTTATAGTAGAAGCTTAGAATATTGATTACTTTACTACAATACCCCCGTCCCCCCATTTTGATGGTAAAACTTCTTCAATATCGGGGTGTTTATGAATCAAGGTTCTACATTATGGCCACTGGCATAGATTGGCCAAACTCTTGTCTTTTTGGCAGATTGGCCCAGAGTTCCAGTTGCTTCTTATGTCACAGGCTTCTTTCGGTTGGAAGAGGAGGTTGGTCCTTAAGGGAATTCTCATTTCGTTTGGTGTGGACCTTGAAGGCTTCAGGGCTCATCTGAAGAAGACGCCATAGAGCGCCTGGAGGATTTCTTCAATAAAGGAGAACGAACGCAAAAGGCTGGTGATGTTGCATGATGTGGGCCAAGCCTGGTGATGTACTCCTGCTTGAGAAGCCGGCACTTTTGAAGGTAGCTGTCCATGGTAGGGTCTGTGACCATGATTCATCCTTCTGCCAAGAAGAGGCCTTCGAAGGGCAAGCCATGGTAGGGCGCTTTGGGCATGGGGGACCAAGTTCGCTGACTCCATCTGGAAGCCAGCCCTGGACATGGGTCAAGGAAAAGCGACTTCCCAAGCAAAGTATTGAAGAAACATGAAGAAACAATACAACCAGCGAACAAGTCTCGATGAAGTCTTCCCAAGTGGTGGCTGCTGGAATGCTTCTGAACTGTTCTAATAAAACAGAAGTGTTTCCCGCTTGTGGCCAAACTTGATCGCTCAATTAGGAGAAACTTGGTAGGTGTGGTTCAGACGCCAAGTCACCTGCTCAACCCCAGATCATGTGTTCCACCCTTTGCAGACATCATGTTTGGGGGCCCTGCTCAACACCGAACACCCCAGAAATCATCTCCGACTCATTCTTGTTTGGCCGCTTCTTGATTCCACGGCACGCGCCAGCGCTGGCGTGCTTCGGACCCCCGCCACGCCCCCTGTATACACCAATAGTCTTCGCGTCTTCACCTGACAGCCGCTCTTCGCGCTTCGCCAGGGAAGCTGAAGCGCAGAAGACGCACCGATCGCAGAAAGCCGTCGGCCGTCCGCCGTCGGCCGTCGCCCGTCGTTGCTCGGTGCTTTCGTCGCCGATCGGAGGAGTGGGTTGGCGAGGAAGGTGAGCGTGACAAGCGTTTCGATGGGGGAAAAGGCACAACGTGACTGTTTTTTGTTGCGTTGTGAGGTTTCCATCATGTTGAGGTTTAAACAGCAGTCTAAAAGCACCAATATCTGGGAGCTAGTACTGTATAATAATCAAAAGGGGTATTGTTTGAAGGGTTGCTGGATTTGTTGATGGACACAGGCCCCCTACTTGGACCCAGGTAAGGTATACAAGTAGAAACAAGAGTTCGGCTTCACGTGATTAGTTATATTCTTTAACGTCAAATCATAGACATGGCAAATAACAAGGGCTCGATTTGTCGCAGAAAGAAACTCTAATTGGCATTCTTGGTGGGCAGAGGCAGTTTGTGTTTGAAGGTGGAGACGTTACAGTGGGAATTGTTTTTGTTACTCCATTTGTTTGCCATGTTGTATATTGTTGGATCATACTTTGTTCCTGGGGCAGGTTCTTGCAGGTTCTCGTGTTGGCTGATGGAATATATGTTTTTAGTGTGTTTTTAATGCTATTTTCTTATGTTTGCATACCAGAAAGTACACATTAATGTAGTTTCTTCACAACTTGCTTTTCACTGTTTTGTGAATTGTTTTTCCCACACCCATGAGGCGGAGCATGGAATGAGCGTTCTTTTCGGTCTTGCAAGTCACGTGGGTATAGACCGGTTGTGCATGGTTGTGAGAGATGAGGACCTCCAGGACCTCAACAGTAGTTGCATGCATCCAACGTTGCGACTGTGCTTCCTTGTCCTTTTTGGGTGTGGTGAAATGCATAGCCCATCAGCGTGTTTTTTCTCCAAATGCATTGGTTGACGTGTCGTTCGACCTCATCAAGCCCGTTTGGGCAGCCCATCGCTACTCCAAATAAGATTGAAGCTAGAAAGAAAGATGATAAGCATCACAGAAGAACCACAACACATCTGGCAGCTCCAAGCTCCCGCGTTGACCACGGAAAATGAACAGAAGAGACATCCAGGCAGGTTGAGCCAGAGCAGCTGTGGGGTTCCAGGTTTTGACCCACAGCCATCTATCTCACACTATCCCACAATGAACATGTGGAAGTACCTTTTCAACAACTTCAGATTTTAGGTGCCCTCGGTCTTTTTTAGTGCCCAATGACAGACAGTCTGACGAGCTGTTTGACCACAGCAGGACGGTGCACATTTAGTGCAAAGGATCTGGGAACAAAGAACTTGAAACAAACAATATCAATCTTATAAAACATACCAGGACCAGTCTGGGTGTCCTGGCTGGACTACCCTCTACTTCGGGTTCACCCAGACAGGATGGTCCAGGTATCTGAATCCCGTTACCCAGCCCTTGACACTGCTTGGAACCATCCTCACCGTCGTCACCACGCGGCCGAGGATCCGAGTGGTCAAGGCTGCTGAGGCGGACGCGGAAGCGGCAGCGAGCTGAGCGGTGGAGTGTTTTGAGCGTTCAGCCTGTTAAGGAACACGGCGCGTTCCGAGTGGTAAGGAAAAGTCAGGGAAAAGACAGTTCCGTTTTTGTGTGTTGGAAAAAGAACTGTTGAGATTGGATATGATATCGGGTAGCTCAATCTCAATTAGGGAGACCACCCAGGCGTTCGGAAATTCTGGTAGGTGACGGAAGCTGGACCAGTCTACCTGTCCGGGCCAGGGGGGCTCCCTATTGAAATACACATCCGCATCCTCAACCCCAGCAGGAATTCCTTTATTGGGGATTCGAGAGGATGCAGCTGCTGGTGAGGCTTTTGTTGAATGTGATGGATGGATCGGATTGCCGGTGGATATGATATGAGATGTTATGAGATGATGCTCCTCGACCATGAGGTCTTCTGAGTCAATTCTCCATAAGGTTTTAGAAACAAAAAGGTGAAGGAGGTAGTGAATGGGGAGCGAAGGTGAAGCGTACGCGCAACACAATTGGAGCGAGAACGGCACAATGCTACAAACCAAGTTTTTGCTTGTAGCTTTTTAATGCTTGTTGCCCGATTCTTGGGAAACTTGTGCCAACACTGCTGGCATTGGTATATATGTGCATTCTCAAATTACTTTTTGCAGCCTGACTCCGATGACAATGGTTCCTGGTATGGACCAGAAGATTCTGTGAACCAAGCAGAGAACTATAGACCAGAGGTGCAACACGTAAAGAGGTACCCCAAGAGTCTAAGAGCAAGGGCCGAAAGAACTGCAAGTTACCTGAAAAGAGAGGTCCTAGGTCTTAGGTCGACCACAGTGCTCAGCTTTGGCGTTTATAAGGTGCGCGTTTCTGCTCGTTTCCGCACTGCACATTGCCGGGGGGTGAACCCTTGACTGAACGATCAACTGTGGGAAGTGGCTGGCCATACCATTTGTGGTCTTACACGTTTGATATTTTATGCCTTAAAAACATAGGCATCACACAAAACCTTAAATAGATCAATCAGTATCAATCATATCCACGGCAAGTGGCATGTCACTGTTGACAGCATTGTTTGGGTAGTTCGGAGCCTGTTCAACCAACACCCGGAAAACGAGGCCGAACTCCAGGGCGATGGTATCGCGCGCCAGCGGGGAGCCATCATCGATGGCTTGCGGACGGCAGTCTTGGAGAGGACAGCAGTCTTGGTTGGGTTGAAGGACGCGAGATCTGCGGGGGAGGGGAGGAAGGGCGAGTTGGAACTGGAGGGCTTGGTCATGGCACCGAGAGATTGGTCGGGCGAACATGGTTGAACAACCCATCCCTAAGTGAAGAGGCCGTTGGATGTTTGAACTTGAATATGCTTCTAAGACTTGCCTTTGCCTCTCATGACCAACCGTTAGTTGAGTGGCATTAGGTAATCAGACTTGCAGCGGTCAAGTTTCAACGCGACAACCCCTGCCCACCCACCAGCCATCCGCGTGCTGGATGCATGTGAACATAACGCATGTTCACATTGCTTCTTGTTACTATAGTAGCTTCGTGCTCCTAGTAGCACGGCCAGGAGCCCCTAGTAGCGTCATTTTCATGAGTTTTTTGGACATCCCAACCGCTCCAAAACCTCGGTGTTGCACGCGGTCGGCGACCAAACACCTGTTTACGATCGGTGACGACCGGTGACGAGTCCAACGGGATCAGGACAGATCACAAGGCGACCACAGAGGAGTGGGCCGTAGTCGGTGTAGTCGGTGTAGTCGGCGCAGTACGTACTTGCAGTTTCATTTCTTTGGGTAGGGAGGGATGGTGGCCCCGGAGTTGTTCAATGTTTTTCATGGGTTATTCCCACTTCGTGATGTATCTGTTGGACACCACAGTTGGGGATGGGGCGTCCATTTTTGGGGACTTCTGTTTTGAACTTATCATCTCTCCAACAAGCATAGAAGTGAACACAGTCAATTTGCAGAGTGAGGTCGTCAGATGTCAGCATGTGAGGTCCACGTGTTGCTTCCATGCTAGACGAAAACAACACCAAAAATTGATCCAAAGGCCTGTGGTCACCAAGCCTTAAAGATGCCAATCTTCTGATCCAAAGGTGGAATATAGGCGAACACAACAAGCTTTATGTTTGTTTCATGTTCCATGGAACCCTGGCTGTGTCGGGCCCGAATCATTGATCCCGCGTGATGGAGACATACAGAGTAGGCGGGTTTTTAAGCTAGCACGTTTAAACCAGCATCTACTCTGAGCCTACTGCATGTGTACATCAGAGAGTCTAATTTGCACTGTTTGGCTCGCGGGTTGTCAATCGAAACGATGGTGGATCCGCTGTTTTCACCTTCCTGTTCCTGGAGAGAAAGACAAGAAGATCGCCCAAGTACACCTAAGTGTCCCTTCTGGACAGCAAAAAGTTTGCATCTCTTTTGCACACATGGCCTGTGGCGGGGAGTAGGGTCTCCTAGGAGCTTTCAAAGTTGCTGCTGGTGACGCAATACTTCGAGACCATGAAGCAGATAGGCCTGCGACCGGACCGGGACGGAGAAATCTCACTCAAAGAGCGTTGTAGTACTTTTCCAATTCCAGGTGGTGCAGGACTTCTTCCGATACCATTGCGCAAGCTCACGTGAGACATACGCTAGACCCACTCTGGAGTCCAGTAAATGTGGTGAACAACAAGGGGTGAATGACCACGCCCCTCAGATCAAGGGAGACAACGCCGCAAAACGACGACCAACTCGGAAAACCAGCAACGTGGTACAGCAGAGACCAACCGCTTCGCAGCACGCCGCTCCTCATCCGAAAATGGCACCCGTCGACGGGTGCACACTCGTCCATCAGATGTGTTGTTCGGATCACCCAGGGGAACCAAAACATCTTTGTTTTTTCTTCAAGACCATGGAGATACCTTGGAGCACAAAACTCTCATCTACGTTGCAAAGCTACAAAGTGGTGCTTTGTGACCTTTTTAGAAGCAGGCTGTTGACAGTTGACATGTTTCATCTTGGATCAACCTTCCTTTCATATCCCTTTTGTATATTTTTCCCCAAACAGTTTACTGTTAGGGGTTCTCAATGCTTTAAAGAATGGTCGCCTTGGTGCTGGATGGTCTGGTCGGGTTCCCGGCCGGCTTGTCTCCCACTTCCTTGCTTTTGTCTCCCAGTTCTTTTCATTTGTCTCCCAGTTCTTTTCATTTGTCTCTCAGGCTGGGTGTTTGTGGTCGGGTTCCCGGCTGGCTTGTCTCCCACTTCCTTTCATTCTCGGTGCTTGTGGTCGGCCGGCTTGTCTCCCACTTCCTTGAATGTGTCTCCCACTTCTTTTCAATTGACTCTCAGGCTGGGTGCTTGTGGTCCGGTTCCCGGCTGGCTTGTCGCCCACTTCCTTGCGTTTCCCATTTCCTTTTATTTGTCTCCCGCTTCTTTTCATTTGTCTCCCAGGCTGGGTGCTTGTAGTCGGGTTTCCGGGCGGCTTGTCTCCCACTTCCTTGCATTTGTCTCCCACTTTTTCCCCAAACAGTTTGCTGTTGGGGTTTCTCAATTCTTTCTCAAGACGTGTCCGCCCTTTGTGCACTGCTGGCGTCCGCCCATTTCCACTGGCCATGTAACATTTCTATTCATCCGTCTCCCAGGTGTGTCACTGCTGGTGTCCGCCCTTTTCCGCTGGCCATGCAGCATTTCTATTCATGTGTCTCCCAGGTCTGTCACTGGTGGTGTCCGCCCTTTTCCGCTGGTCGTGTAGCATTTCTTTTCATTTGTCTCCCAGGTCTGTCGCTGCTGGCGATGCAACATTTCTATTCATTTGTCCCCCAGGTCTGTCACTTGCGGTGTCCGCCCTTTTCCGCTGGGGATGCAACATTTCTATTCATTTGTTTCCCAGGTCTGTCACTGCTAATGTCGCATTTCTGTTCATTTGTCTCCCAGGCCTGTCACTGGTGGTGTCCGCCCTTTTCTGCTGGCCATGTAGCATTTCTATTCATTTGTCTGCCACATCTGTCACTGCTGGTGTCCGCCCCTTTCCGCTGGCCATGTAGCATTTCTATTCATTTGTCTCCCAGGTCTGTCACTGCTGGTGTCCGCCGCTTTCTGCTGGCCATGTAGCATTTCTATTCATTTGTCTCCCAGCCTGCACTGCTGGTGTCCGCCCTTTTCCGTTGGTCATGTAGCATTTCCGTTCTTCTCCCAGGTCTGTCACTGGTGGTGTCCGCCCTTGGACGCTGGCCATGTAGCATTTCTCTATTCATTTGTCTCCCAGGTCTGTCACTTCTATTCGTCTGTCTCCTAGGTCTGTCACTGGTGGTGTCCGCCCTTGTCCTCTGTTTCTATTCATTTGCCCATGTCTGTCACTGCTAATTTCCGCCCTTTTCCGATGGCCATGCAGCATTTCTACTCATTTGCCCCCCAGGCTTGTCACTGGTGGTGTCCGCCCATTTCCGCTGTTTCTATTCATTTGTCTCCCAGGTCTGTCACTGCTGGTGTCCGCCCTTTTCCGTTGGCTATGTAGCATTTCTATTCATTTGTCTCCGAGGTCTGTCGCTGCCAGTGTCCGCCCTTTTCCGCTGGCCATGCAGCATTTCTATTCATCTCCCAGGTCTGTCACTGCTGGTGTCCGCCCTTGTCCGTTGGGCATGCAGCATTTCTATTCATGTGTCTCCCAGGCCTGTCACTGGTGGTGTCCGCCCTTTGCCGCTGGCCATGAAGCATTTCCATTCATTTGTTTCCCAGGTCCGTCACTGCTGGTGCCGTGTAGCATTTCATTTCTATTCATTTGTCTTTCAGGTCTGTCACTGGTGGTGTCCGCCCTTGTCCGTTGGCCATGAAGCATTTCTATTCATTTGTTTCCCAGGTGCGTTACTGCTGCTGTCCGCCCTTTTCCGTTGGCCATGTAGCATTTCTATTCATTTGTCTCCGCTGATGTCCGCCCTTTTCGTCGGCCATGCAGCATTTCTATTCATTAGTCTCCCAGGTCTGTCACTGTTGGTGTCCGCCCTTTTCCGCTGGCGATGCAACATTTCTATTCATTTGTTTTCCAGGTCTGTCACTGCTGGTGTCCGCCCTTTTCCGCTGGGTATGCAGCATTTCTATTCATTTGTTTCCCGGGTCTGTCACTGGTGCTGCCGCCCTTTTCCGCTGGTCATGTAGCATTTCTATTCATTTGTCTCCCATGTGATTTCTTTCTTTTTGTCTTTCAGGTTTGGTGCCTGCGCTGCTGTTTTCTGCCCTGTCCGCTGGAACAGGTTCGCCTGTGAAAGGTTCTTGCTCCTTTGCAAGGGGTGCGTGACTGTCTCTCAGCTTTGTTTTCCTTTTCGGGCAACCGTTGGATGAATGATCGGATTGGATTTCGGCGGCGTGGCAGCGATCTCTCTGTTCAATTGGGGCGGAGGGCATACGTCAGGCACCAAAAATCAATTTAATGTCACATCCTTCGCTCCTCATGCTTTTATTTCTTGTCCTCACGTGGTCAGCTCCCCGCTGACTGAGCAGCATGACCAGCATCATGTTCGCACTTGAAGAATAATTCCCCAAAAGGTTTACTGTTAGGGCTTCTCAATTCTTTCTTAAGATGTGTCCGCCCGCTCTGTATTGCTGTGTCCCTCTCTGCCTTGCAATCCTTTACACTTGTCTCCCAGCTCTGGACGTCGCAAGCTCTAGTTTCGATTTTGAAAAACACAAACTGTTTGGGGTCTACGGTGGTGTAATTTGCATTCTCAATCGTTGTGTCACCTTGCCTACTCTGCCGCTACAACTGACTGCTTCTAGGCTCACGGGAGAATAGCAAGACCTTCGTCATGCCCAAGGCCAACCCACTGGACTCCGAGAGCCAGCTAAGGCGACGCGCTCCGAGCCGACGCGTGCGACGCGCGAGTCTCCCGCTCGCGGAAGTCGAAAACGCGACCGGGCGATGGCGGGACCGGGGAGTTCCGTCGTCGCTCGGTGCCATGGTTTGAAAGGACGGGGCACCTGAAGGAGATAGAGATGGGAGGTTTCTTTGATGGAAGGTTGCAACAGCGGGATGATGTTGCAACAGTGGGACGGTTTGACTGAGTGAGTGAAATGTGCGAAGGAAGACGGTGGGTGACGGTGATGGTTGGTAATGCTTCATTCTTTTTCTTTCCGCTGGGAGTGTTCCAGGATGTTTTTTTTTGCCGATGACTTCATTTTCACCACTCGAAAGGGTGGGAAAAGGGGTGTAGCAGGATGCATTGAGCAGGATGCATCGAGACTAAAAGATCCTTGGATAGAAATCAAACTTGGTGTTTTGAGGATGGAACACCTGGATTCCATAACTCTCCTCCAAAGATTCCCAGTCACTTCTTAAAGATCTTTTTCCAGGCAGCGATGGACAGAAAGTGGTGTTTTGGTCGGAAGCGAATACGCCAGTGTTTACTCACTACTTTGCTCAAGGTTCGATCGATCGAGGGTTCTCTTGTACTACATTCCATCAAATCAAGACAGAGACCTTCGACTGCTCAAAACGAAAAAACGCGCATCCAGGACACGCCTCCCTACCGCGCCCGATACGAGCGCCACCTACCGCACCCGCCCGGTGTGACCCGCCAGGATGGGTTGGTTGCAGGCGAAAGCTGGACTGGCTGGACTCCAACGTGGCAGAGGCGGGCCCCTGGGCACCACTCGGTCAGTTGAACTGCAAGGCATGATGACTTAAACACATTATGTTGGAGGCCATCGCTAGTAGGTTGAAGGCCATTGCTATTAGAAACAAGGAAAAAGGACAAGGAAGAGAGTATAACCCAAGACACGAGGCACAGCTGCGGGGTAGACTTAGACATGCTGCGTTTTCGTCCACGGTCATTGGGTTGAACACGGTCACTGGGGTATTCTCACTTGAGCATTTTTGGCACAATATGGCACAATATCATATCTCTTTAGTCGGCAGGTTGTGATCTTCATGGGCTGGCTGACTTCAATAATCCCAGCACTCTATCCCAACAAAAGAAATTATCACAGGGGTCCTATAGTTCTTGATCCACTAAAGATGGTACCTCTTTTGACATAGAAGCCCGTAGGGCCCCTTGCCCAAGTCATTCCATCCCATGGATCTTCCATGTTTCCCTACACTACATGAGGTCCAGGACATATCCCTCTACATGAGGCTAGCTGAAAAGCTGTTGATCATATACAGTATAGACCTGAAGACACATGCTGGTTGGGTTTGTTGTAGTGCCGTCAAGCACTTTGAAGCAATCTTTCTACGGTCATGTAACAGGCAGAATTGCTTTTGAATTCATAAGCATGCAGCATTCATATTTAAAGGGACTTCTATGCTTCTTTTTTCATTGAGGGTCACTTTTTGTGAGTTCATTGTTTCATCGCTGGCACTTGCCTACTATGTACTGTACTATAATTGCCTGTAGTCGTCTTGCCGTTGTGCCATCAGTTATGGACACCGCAACCGGGGTCACCTGATCGGTCCATCAGTGGCAAAACACCATGTCCCAGGTCCGGTTCAGCAGTCGATGCCAAGGGAGTCTGGGCTAAGTTCGGCTTTGTTTCGCTGGTAGCGATTTGCGACATCGGCTGAGATCAAAATACTGGACACCCCTAAGCAAAAAAATAACTTGATGCGAGAAGCGGTACTTTTGTTCCTGTGTTTGCTGTATTTTTGCACGTCTAAGAGAACATGTTAGCTTGAGGGTGCAACATGATATGTTGAGTTTGGGTGGGCTTCTGTTGTAGACGACACTGAAGTCGCAGCTCCAAACCTACCTAGCCATGTGGGCACAACCCTTACTGTGAGTGGTGAGTAATTCTCTCGAACAAGCCCTGTCGTTTACAAGTGAACAGAAGCCGCTCTAAGAGTGTCAAGCCCTGTGGCGCCACAAAAGTCCACTTCTGAAATGCCCTTCTGCGGCTTGCCACTCTGCAGCTTGCCCTCACGGGATTTTTTCCCCAAAATTGTGATCATGTTTCCTGCGAGGGTCTGTTCATGGCCAGCCCATGTGACCCCGGCTCAATCTTCCAGACGAGTCTTGCCTCCAAGAGCTCTGATGTCCAATTCTTCGGGACAATTCGTCTCCATCTCAGGACACTCGTACTTCCAGCCCGCCGGCCGTGAGTGGTGTGCCCGCTGGCCGCGCAGAACGCACGTCCTCGCCCGCTGTGAGCGCGCAGCTTCGGATGAAATTTCTGAGACTCACGACCGGAGTGTTCTGACACGTTCTGACCCCAGTTGGTAGGGTACCCCGATGTTTGATGCCATTATGCTATATCATCCTTTGTAATCCTTTGTATACAGACGATCAATATCGATCAATCTAAGACAAAACACCGTTTTTATTTGAGGAACATCTTTTGAATGACATACTGATGAACATCCTCGGCCATCACATGGCGACGCATGGATTTATAGTGGATTGAGAGTGGATGGCACAATCCCCAAGTTCGATGGTTTGTATTATGAACCTTGATCTCAAGGAGTCTCAAAGTCGGGGTGTCAGTGCCATCGAACCATGCAGATATGTCAGCACTGTCTTGATCACCATCAGGAGCATCATTTGAAGAACCTTGGGCATCATACCGGTTTCGGCCATCGAACATTATTTAGCAACACTCTCCAACAGGTCTCCTGGTGGCTTTTGGAGGGTTTTGGTAGATATATGGACCCCCATCTACGTCATCTTCAGGTGCCGTCGAACCTGCCAAAAGCCCTCGCCCAAGGCCCCGGCGGAGCTCGGGCGAGCGCCGTACCTCAGGGGAGCGGCGACCGCAGCTCGGAGGGAGCATGGAAGACTTGCTAGATCCGTAGAAACACAATCTCCCTCAGCCTTCTTGTTTCTAATAGCTTCTTGTTACTACTAGTAAGGCACTTGTTACTAGAAGCGATGCACTTGTTACCAATAGCTTCTTGTTTCTAATAGCTTCTTGCTCCTAGTAGCGATGCCAGGAGCCCCGTTCGTAGCGTCCTTGCTCCTAGTTAAGGCCAGGAGCTCCTAGTAGCTTCTTGTTCCGAGCGTGATTTTGATGTTACTTAAATAAAGTGTGGTTCTCCGTTCGTAGCGATGCCCTAGAAGCTCTGTTCGTAGCGTCCGATCGCTCCGTTCGTAGTAAGGCCAGGAGCCCCGTTCGTAGCGTCCTTGATACTGTAATCAATTTGCAGTTTGGGAAAGTTGCCTGAAGATGAGTCAGATGAGTCGTTGGTTGAGTTCATATGAGTTCATCATCGCAGTATGTGGTGGGGAAGAGGTGAAATTGTGAGGCCAACTCATTGTTTCACAGGAATGCAAGCAGCTGATCTTCCAAAGAGATGCATGCACATGAACAACAATTAGCAACGCGAAGGTGACCACGGTTGTTTTTTCCATGCACAACGGTGTTTACTTGCTCAATCTTGCTGCATGATCATGTCACCTTCGGCGCTGGGTGTGGGGTCCGACGGACACCGACGGGTTCCGCCCTCGTCCGGTCGGCTGGAAGGCCCCGGTCGTCCGGTCTCGTCGTCCCGTCTGGACTGGTCGGAGGTGTGACTGGTTGACCCAATGATTGCAGGCAACTACATAAATCATTGGAGCATAGGGCGCCCAATTCAGTATCAATCATCCGATTCAGTACCTGGAAAATATTTGACTGAGCTCATTTCATTCTATTTCCCTATTTCATCCTATTTCAATCATACACACCCGCCTTTGTGACGGCTCCATTGAAAGAAGACCAGTTCCTAACTACAACCATCATGGAAGCCCACCACTTCTGGAGGCTTTTCACCCTGCCATCGATCGCCGGTCGTCTTCCTTTGGACCGCACATCGCCGCCGTCAGCGGCTCCCGGCCAAATGCGAACGGGAGGCGACCCACCCGTGACGAAGCACGCGAAGGGACGAAGCTGATCCGAACGCGACGCCGCCGATCGACGAAGATCCGTCGGGCGTACCGTCACCAGACGCTCAGGTCCCAGCCACGGTCCACTTCTCCAGCTCCGCGCCCGGTGCCAGTGCAGCCTGCGGCGTCGCTGGGCGAAAAGCCTGTTCCGGCGTCGTTCGCGACGGACCGCGAACGACACCGGACCTACCAGGTGGCACACGATCCATCCCCACCTGGTAGGGCTGTGTTTCTTGATTTACTTTTTTGTTGCGTTTAGGCCATTGTTTGCTGGATCTGTTTTTTTTTTTTTTCGTTGCTTCTCTATATGATTTCTCTTGCTCTTTTTTGCTTTTTGTGCTTGTCTCGCTCTTCCTTGCTTTTCATTGCTTCTTTGTGATTGCTGCTGCCTTTCTTGCATTTCCTGCTTTTAAAGGTCTTGCTCTTCCTGGCATTTCTGCTGTTTGTCTTTACTTTCCTGCTTCTATATGCTTCTATACTTTTCTTGCTTTTGCTGTTTGTTTTCTGCTCTTCTGGTTGTTTTGTTTTGATTTGTTTTGTTTCACCTTAAGATACAACCCAAGTGCATCATATGAACAAAACTCTTTCATTTTTTGTTCCCTTCTCGATTATGATGCACTTGTCTCGTGTTTGTTCGCCCTGCAGCCGGAGTTTTTGTGTTTGTTTATTTTGCCTTGTGGGTCCAGGCACACTGGAAATACCGCGGGGACCATGCATTGCTTGGTGTCCAAGGAGAACAACATGACGAAAACCCCAGGAGTTCCACGTCAGGGCGCTCTTCAGACCTGGATGTCTTGTGGATATGACAGGGGCACCGTGCACCCACAAAAACTCTCCAAGAGAAGAACCCTCCCACTCCGTGGAACTGGGAAAGGTTGTTCAACAATTCTAGACCTCCTTCCTTCTCACCATTTGGGGATGGTTTTGTTTGGGTTCTTTTTTGCATTGTGCTTGGGGATTTGTTTTTTTTGCGGTCGTGGTTTCTCTATAGCTGCTCCAGGGGAAGTGGAAAGTTTGTAGAAGAAATAATTGTCCAGGAGGCCATTTCATGATCATGATTATGTACCCCTGCGGATTGTTCCGCCGGCCCTTTTGGCTGAGGGGAGGAGGGGGGGGGGGGGGGGGGGGGGAAAGTTAGACTTGTCAAAAATCCGCGCCTTGGGTACAATTAGACTAAAAACAAAACTACTACTAAGCTACTAGGATAGCATACAAACCAATCACCTAAAATACGCCGCGCCCAAGGGCCGGCGGATTTCAGGGCATCTCTCCTTCTTGGGGATCTCCAGCCAGGGCACCCATTGGATGCTCCAGATATATAGGCTCTGATTCTGATCCACTTTTGATCAAGTTTGCTCCCCACGTGCTGATAGTCTCAGCGCAACGGAGTCTCGAGGCGTCCGCCGGTGGTGCTTCAGATCCAGGCTGCCGGTGCTGCTTAAGGAAGTCGGAGCAAGGAAGCTACTAGGAACAAAGGGCATCCCCACGAACGGAGCAAGGACGCTACGAACGGGGCTCCTGGCCTTACTACTACTAGTTGTTTTTTGATGTTTTTTGCTCCATTTTGGGGGCTGCAACGCCTCGGCCTCAGCCCAAATGACTCCGAGTTGGGAGTCGTTTTGTTATCAACGCTCCCTTTGTGTTGTTTTTTTTTTTTTTTTTCCGGTGCTTAGAAGGCCGTTAGAAGGCCTGGTTTTTCGATTCAAGTCTTCCTCTACCCGTTTCGGTGCTCTGACGAGGTCCGCGTCCGCCCGAAGCCACACTGCCCAATGGACCGGGTAGGCGACGCCGGTGGCCTTGGTCATGTGACCACCAAAAAAACACCTGCCAACCAGGACATTTAAAGTGACCTTTTGAGGTCCCAGAATGAGGTCAGACTTGGTCCTCTGAGAGGTCACTTAGACACTCCAAAGAGGTCACTTTGAAGGTCCTGGAACTCAAGATATCATGGGGCTTTGTTGTTTTCGCACCTTTTTGATCAGTATCTGATCCCAAAGATCCTCCCAACTCTGTTTTCGCCTCCGAACGCCACCGAACTCCCACGCAGGTGCCACCCGGCGCCCCGCCCGGCGCCACCCTGCAGTGCCAGGCACCTGACGGACGTGGCTCGGTCGCAGGGACCGTGGCACCGCGGCGTTGGGGGACGCGTTGGGGACGTTTCACGGTGCCTTTTTGGGCGGTTGAGAACCGGTGGAGAACGGTGATCGATGTCATTTTTGATACTGGAGATCGGTTTCTGGTGACCAGCCTGCAGAATTATGGCGTTCATGGTGCAATCTGAGTAGAACGCTGGCTGTCGCTTCACAGGCTTGTATGATGTTGTATGCTCTTGGAACAAATGAGGGAATGTGAACATCCATCATCTCAACTGTGTGGAGTGCGAGCCTCTGGTCTGGATTTCGGTCTCATGTTTGCTGCCGTCTTTGTCGTTTGGCTGGTGGTGTGTGTTTTGGTTGTTTGTTTTGCAATGGTGCTTTCACCGGGCGTCGGCGCCGCCTTTTTCAGTTTTCTCATTCTTATGGGAGGCGTCATGCTCGGCATGCGCACCCCGGGAATGTCGTGTCCCGAGCAGTTCGCCGCACGCGTCCGCCAGCCGGTGGTTGGTCAGGACAGGGAAAAGTGGATCAGATTGCATAAGCAAACTTTGGGGGATTGGAGACAGGAAAACCCAAACCCAACAGATAAACTGGGAACAAGGACGCTACTAGGGGCTCCTGGCCTTACTACTAGGAGCAAAGACGCTGCGAACGGGGCTCCTGGCCATACGACTAGTAACAAGAAGCTATTAGAAACAAGAAGCTATTAGTAACAAGTGCATCGCTTCTAGTAACAAGTGCCTTACTAGTAGTAACAAGAAGCTATTAGAAACAAGAAGGCTGAGGGAGATTGTGTTTCTACGGATCTAGCAAGTCTTCCGGCTGAGGAACCGTGCAAGTGAGAATCCCGCCCGGTGCACAGCCAGGTCAGTTGCGGCTTGGCCGGACTAAATGCCTTCAGCAATCATGGTGATTGTTTGGGTTAGGAGACCTCCCAAAAGACTCCTGGAAGAAGGGACACATACCAGTATCATACCAGTCTATACCCGTCCAAGGATCTCCCTATTCAAATGCGGATCGCCCATGTGAACCCATCGGCTTCGCCGATGTGAACCCATCGGCGTCACCGATCGGAGGCCCTGTTGACGGACGGGGGGGAAAGAGAAGCAACGAACACGAGCGGACGGTTTCATATAAATATATATATATATATTATATACGTACATATAGATACCTACTCGTAGTAGTCATGGCCAACCCAATAGCAATGGCCTCAAGCCTGGTCTTTCGAGAAGCCGGTGAACACCCGAAGTGGTCGGGTCCCATGGGTTTTTATGGGTTGGTTCGTTCGGAACGGGTTCTGCAGCAGTTCCTAACGACCAGTTCCTGACGTAGACCACAGACCGAACCAGGTCGGTGCGGTGAGCAGGGAGCCTAGGACTGGTGCCAGCCAGTCGGGCCCAGTCCTACCTTCGCAGGTATGTGGATCCCTAGGGACACATGAAAATGGGTAGACGGTAGACTGGTCTATTTCCCGAACCTCCCTAGAGAAGTCTCCCCTTTCCAAGCCTTGGTCACCCAAAAGGATCTTTCTTTTTACATACTGTTACTGCCCAGCCGAAAAAGAGCACCTTTGCAACGTTGCGCAGCACCAAGGTTACAGATTCAGGTCTGACCACCACGGTGATGGGTGTTTCCGCTGTGCCTTTGCTTCGATGACGAGATAGTTGATGGGCAAAACATGGCAACAAATTGAGATGAAAGAAAGAACAGATGTTGATATTCTATGTTTGTTGGTATCCTTAAATCTGAGAGATGGCTGGTCATCCTGATCCAGTTGATGGTACATGATAGTACTGGCATCCTTAAACCTCTCTAGTTCGGCATCGTCGTAGCCAAGATTTGATGCTTCAAGCAGCCTAATTCGTTTGCTTGTCAAAGCAGCCTAATGATTCGGACAATTGTTGTTGTTGTTGTTGTTCTTTTCTACAATGTGTGTTCTGTTCTTTTTTCAGCTTGCCATCCAAACAACTTTGTCCTTCAGCTTGCCCTTCAGCTCGCGCCTCTCGGTCCCTCGAAGCAGTCACGTTCACGTTGAACTCTGTGCAGAGAGAGGCGCAAGGGGTGTGGCATGACATCGATGTCACCCCCAGTTATGTGAGGCGCAAGGCCGCCTGGTGAGATGTTCCGTGTGCTGTGACCATGATTTTCCAAACACTGTGTTTCACATGCCGAGCATGCAAAGCCCATCAAACATAAATAGAAAGCTGTCAAACATGATGTACACTCGACATAGATACATCACAACACATAGGTTTCTACTATTAGACTATGTCAAATCCAGATTCAGCGAACTTGACCAGTTTCTTCTCCCTTCGAATGGATTAGCCCTTCGTTTCAGCGTCTCCACTTGGTTGGTCCGAGAGAAGAGGACGTAAAGCTATGACGTAAAGCGCAGAGAGAGAGAGAGAGAGCATACTGCTCCACTTCGACCATTGGGCCCCCAGCACTTCGCAATAAGGGAAGCCCATCCTGAACGTCGGGTCACCTAAATACAATTGGTTAAATACTCTTGGACTCCCACGTTACCCAACCTGGCTTGATGCTTCTCAACTTTGCTTGTTACCAGCTTCACTGGTCTAAAACACACCTAGTTCGGGTGATTTGCAGAAAACGAGCTCGCCGGTCGGAACCTGGTGTGCGGAAACATGCGGAATCCCTTCAAAGGAAGGGCCTGCCGCCACGTTGGGATCTTGGTGTCCAGATCGAGGTCTTCGAAACAACGACAACGATGCAACTGCAACCCAAAAGAATGCATTCCAATTGGATTTGAACGGATGTTTAATAAGTCTTGGATGTGTTGAGGTCTTGTCGAATCTTTTAGTTCCATATAGTACCAGCTTAATTGGTCCCACCTTGCTTCTGATTAGCAGATGGTGAGACCTCCATCACTCGGATGCAAAGGAAAAAGTGTTTCACCTGCCACGCATCTTAGCCTCCATGGTGGGCAAAAGCGGAACAGGCACATCTTCTGGGGTGCTATTCTTTGCACCCAACCCTGTCTCTGTGTGACTGAAAGAAAAACGTCGTATATACATACCATACTGGTTGAACGAACTGTTTTTTGTTGTTTTCGCGGGCGACGAAGGGGCTGTGGACTGAAGACCGCCCCGGTCTAAGCCATTTTTGCGACGGATGCCTATGGCTGTGTTACTCCGTCGAACTGTGGACTCCCCAAAACCACTCGTAGCAAGCGCTAGCCGCATCCTTTTTTCGGGCCTTGACGAGCACTTGTGGAGAACTGCTGTCACCAGCGTGAGGACTCAGCACTCACTGCCAAGCTCATGACGCTCGTCAGCATAGCAGTCACATCAAGAGGAAAATATTGTTATATATCCGATTTTGGGCCCTGTCAGGCACCAAACTTTGCTGGGTTTAGGGTCAGAAAAACCGGGTTCAGAACCGGGTCCCTGGCATCGTGTGACCTGGTTTCCATGATTAGAAGCCAGAGTGAATATCGTTTTCAGGTCGTTCAGGCTTTACAGAATCTCTTCTGATTTTCGTTTTGTAAGGTGATGAAGTACACGGTACATGTTCACAGCATTCCGGTGTTAACATAGGGCTTTAGATATGGAGCCTGTATCACACTTCAGCTCTATCATTTCAGCTGACAAGGACAGATGAGATGATGAGATTCAGGTGATGATAGGTGAGAAGTTTCTGTTTAATGCATACAGTGCACCAAGGGATAGCTCGGATGGCCGAAATCTGACACCGCCACCGGGTGTGTCTCGCTTCAGATGACTATTGACTCAATGACAGCTATTTCATGATATTACACCGGTCCCCGGAGTAAGAGGTCTCAAGCCTATTGGTGATGCACTCTTGTCACAACCCCTGCCTCCCTGAAAAATCTACGACCCGACAGGGTCACCCAGGTAGATACGAACAACACCTTTGGGGAGACACGTCTTGTGGCAGCCAACGCCGAACATGCGCCATGCGCTTCACCCACGCCACGCTTCAGCCATCACCCGTTCGCCAACAACCACCGGCGACGAACAGCGACATCAGAGGGACGGCGTTCATGGTAAACCTCCCACAAGCTGTCGACAGGGCTGGCAGTCCTGACTCCCGAGTTGCTCGGCCAGGGGTGGTTGAAAAAAACTGAAAAGGAGTATAAGATGGTATAGGTACCCTCCCTGGAACTAACATGGAAGTAGAACCCCCCTGGTTTGGTAGACATGGTCTTCCTTTCAGGGCCATGTTGTCCATGTTCATGTTAGTTCCAGGGAGTGTACACCATGTTTTCATCTTCCAGTCCTAGAACACCGCTCGTGTGAGGTCGACAGATCGTGTGAGATCGGCAGTGTTGAATACCGAGAACACACAGAGAAAACTTCCTCGGTCGTTGTGGTCCGGCCCGGCTTCGTCGGATCGACGCCAGATTGGCTTCGTCGGATCGAGGCTCTTGCAGATGGGCTCCAATGAGAAAGTCTCGGACTTCTTGTCGAAGGCGAGGGATGGCGACGCCAGGGAGATGGCGACGCCGAGACGAGGCGAGCGTGATTGATCTGCTATCCAGGAGTCAAGCAGAAGCACCAGTGATATTTGCTATCCCAAACAGTGGAATAGCTGCCGACATTAGGGTGGTTTCAGCTGTTTCAAGGGGTGCTGGCAGACCTTGATCGAGACACTGCAAGACTCACAGGAGGGATCAGACCAAATCCACATCACCAAACATGTCTTATTCTTTTTTCCGGTGCACTGGGCAGTTGAGCAGCCCAGCAACACCCCAACCCTCCTGCCCATCCAAGCTTGTGAAGATGTTTCCCTGCTGGCTTACAGGGAAGTCTGATGACTGGGTCAACCCCAAAGTTTCAAGCTGGTTCTTCAAGTAGGTTTTCAGCCAGCCCCTTGGAACAAGGGCAGCTTCAAATTGGATATAAGATGGTCACCCCAGCCTCCCACTAAGTCACTAGCAGTCCAAAACAGCATCGCTACCCTGGTTTTGCTTAGGAAGATTCTCATTTTCCCCATCGGTGAATCCCGTAACCTGGGGATGGTTTGAATGCTGTCCAAGGCCCCGGACCCTCCCGAGAAGCTGGCGATTGAGAATAGCATCCAGCGCGGGAACCGAAGATGCCAACACAGTGATGGTAGACCGCAACCGCGCGATTCTGGGTCGTTTTGGGGGTTTATGTATATTTACTATTATTTTTTTGGTTTTCGCAAAAGCAGCGAAACCATTGGTGGACATGGGATCATGGCATTGCCCTGTCAGGCTAGTTGAGGGCAGATGAAGATCCGTGAATCCAGCTGCTTTCATTCATTTGTGAACTGACCAAGGTTTTCAGGGTTTCCACGACCAAAGGCCAATTACACCAATTACAGTATCTCAGATCCTCATGATGGTGGCATGTGATGGGCAATTTACTCTCCCTCCAAAACACAGATGGAACTGGAACATGGGGCCCACAAGACCATATTTTTAGTACCAAAGAGGTGATGCCATCCGCGGAAGCATGATTGTTTCAGGGAGGGTAACAAACAGAACCCCCAGATGCTTCAGAGAGGCTTTTCAGAACGACGCGGCACGACGGGCGGGCACCATGTTTTTGACCCCTCGACGACGCCTTTTGTACGGGGTAGAGGTGAATTGACTCCCAACCATCCGCGAAAGAGGTCGATCAACCACCTCAACTTGACCTCAACCACTGAAACAGCTCTCCTGCGCCCTGTTTTTTTCAGCGCTTCTGCCAGCGTGAGGCTCTTGGTGGAACTTGGAGCTCTCACCAAGGCGAAGTTTGGGGGAATGGTCTGGCAATGTCAGGCGATGTGATGAAAGACATGAGGACAGCTCTCATCCATGGTCCACTTGCGTTTCAGAAAATAAGACCCAAAGCCATCAAGAACCCCATAAACGGCTCAATTCTTTGAGAAGATTGAACACGACATAGGGGCTTTGCTGGTTGCTATGATTCATGGACTACAGCTTCATTCAATGCAGAATCAGAGCCTTCTTGCTTGGAATTTCTCATTGGGAAGGCCGCAGACATATCAAAGCAGATCCTGGAAGAAAACACAGATCTTCGCGGACGAAGATGCCTTTCTGGTCCGAGGTCACAACTGACTGGTGCTTAGCTTAGCAGGGAATGAGGGAATGTAAACTGAATGATTATTGAGATTCCTTTGGATCCAGCCACCCTCATTCCTTACTTTCATCGCACCAGTCAGACCATTTTTCGAGAAATCGACATCGCCAGGCGGAGCAACTGACCGCCCTGGGCGAGCATTTGACGCCGCTCGGGTGGACATGGGTAGAACCCAGGGGCCAGTCAAGTTTGGGTTTGTCATGATGTTTATTGTTTCTACTAGCTTCTTGTTCCTAGTAGTAAGGCCCTTGTTACTAGTAGCGATGCCAGGAGCCCCTAGTAGCGTTTTGAAAGTGGTCAATCCATTCAACCAGATTGTTGTTTCATATTGTTCCCATGTTGCCTTTAAAACCCTTATTCGTCAGCTTTGTTTTCAGGACTCCCCAGGTTTGAGATGAGACACTGCATGCTGTTTTCTTCCTTTTTAACTTTTAACAATTGCATTTTCGTGATTCAATGAATAGTGAGGCCTTTGCCAGAGTGGGGATGTGAACTTAATGTGAACAGCTCGGGAGATCCAATGTAGGCCCTGAAAGCGCTCCCAGTTTGCCTTAGGAGGTTGTAAGACGTCAAATGCCGGC